ATCCAGTACCATTCTGTCATGTAGACACTCCAAACTCAAAAGTCCACGACCTCCCTGTTGTCGGGGGAAGTACAACCGTGGAACGGACGATTTGGGATGCAAACTCCTATAGAGTTTGCATCCCATTATTATTATTATTATTATTAATATTGTCAATTTTTTTTATTTGAAGTTACTTCACCCACCTTCAGCTGCGATAGGAATATGCCTTTTGAAAATGATAGATTCATCAAAAAGATACAACCCTGGCTGATAAAAGGCATCATTCCCTCTTCTTCAATTGAGGAATGAAGAATCGCCCTGTTTTTTGATCTTATCAGCCAAACTATAGCATTACTTTGCGGGTCATTGGGGCTGGATGTCTTAGCGTTCTACGGTGGGATTTCGTCGCTTCTTCTTCAATATTCTGTCTATTTTTTCATCTTTTGTATATGCTAGTGACACAAAGATGACGTATTGGCAAAAAAACTAATTCAATTTATCATCGCTAGAAACGTCTCTGGATTCGATACATGCGTGAGAATGATGTTATCAATGGTTTTAACATAGACATGACTTGTGAACAAGTCTGGTCGTTGAAATATCTCATTTTGAGTTCTGTATTATTTGCTTTTTTCATGTATTTTTCTCAAGTTTCACTTTATCGTTCTGTAAGGTCGCAAAAATTGTCACTAAGTTTTTCTTTTGAATATTCATACCTCATTATATACAGAATAGTGATGAATGGAAAATAGAAAAAATTATCTGTTCCCCATAAAGTGATAATTTGGGAATTTAACTTTTCAGTATAGGGTATTCTACTAGTCATGTATCAAAAAAATGATGATGATTCAAACAATCTCACCTGATTCTCGATTTCCATAACTTCACTCCTAGTGGTCAATATATTATCCAACAGAACCGAAGTCTGAATTATGAGAGCCATGATAGGAATGAAAGGAAGGATGAGCATCTGCATCAGATGGATCTTTCGACCCCTTCCATCAGCAGGATTGAAGGATTTGGCACAGCAGTAACCTTTTGGAGCTTGGGAAACGTCCTCAGAACTGACGGATCGCAAAGACGTATCATCGCCGTCACAAACATTGTTTGGAGTCTGTTTTGACTTCGAAGAGGACATATCTGGAAATGAAATGTTTTGAAGTCATTATAGCATTTATAGAAATTGAATTCGAATTTTTGAATACAGAAATCAAAATTCTCATGAAAGCATATTCCAGATCTCCTAAAGTAGGTACAGATAAACACAATTTCATAGGTGCCAATTGACAGAAATGAAACCAAAACAATCATTCTTGCAAAAAGGAAAAATACTGAAGGCAACGTTCCATTTTTAGCACATACTATTGATCTGAGTCTGATTTGGAAAAACCACATTCATCAATTATCTAGCGAAATATCTATCGATATTCACAATTAAAATACCGAAGTCAGAATACTGATGAATGTTTGATCTGCTCTCACTGCTCACTATGTATGATGATTCATTGTATTGACAACTATTTGAGGAAAAACAATGTGAGTTTTAGCAGGGATACCAAACACTGATGAGAGTTGCGAACAGTGTCATATAAAATAGAAAATAATAAAAGCAGCTATACAATACTATGTATGACCCAATAAACATAAAACCGCATAAGTGTCAAGTAGATGAAGATAGCCACGACTATTCCACTACGACCACTACGGTCAGCTACAACGATTGACAGCTGATAGATGTCAAATTATTTTCTTTTATCACCACTGAAAGTCCAATAGTCAAATCAAGGTGTACTCAGAAATTTACAGAGATTCCGTGCTCCACCAGAGCCTTATGATGGGCTCTTCTGGAATATTTTATTATAAACATGCCAACAATCTCATCATTTATACACCTATACTATTGGGATAATGGGTTTCTGTATCTGCCATGTATTGCCTGCAGCTAAAGTCTGTGTTATATAGCCATCATTCAGTGAGTTGCCCAAAATTATTCTGAGTCGATTCCTACTATGTTTTCCAGTACTCCACATATTTCTTTCTGGCCAATTTTCTGATCTGGTTCCGAACCTCACAGTTGACTTGAGACCTCATATAGAATAGATAATTCGTGTCTAGCACGACTGTCAGCTCTCTATCTGCCTGTGATTTCTCAATATCGATTCATCAAAGTCGCGAATGCAGCTTATCTGTCTTCAAAAATATTGAGGCATCAAATTGATAATCTTGGATCTCTTGGATCTTTTGATGGTGTGGTAGACTTACAGAACAATGAAATTCACAATCTACTTATATGATAAGTCCTCAATATTTATGAAAATGAAATCAATAGAAATGTAAACTATGATAGAAGTTTTCATGTATGAATGAAACTGTTTCATTTTTTACGCTTCGATTTGATTTTCTGTATAGGAAAAGACTTATCATATACGTCCAATTAAATGCTGTGAAATGATAAGAAAGGATTATATTTGGTCAGAGTACTCTCCCATATTTATTCAATTAAGGTAGTGCCATATCATAATATGCCTGTATTGTTTTTCATATTCAATACTGAATTAAGCATATTCTGGTTTTTGTTGCACATTGCATCGAAAATGTTTGTTGTCATTTATGAAGCTGCATGTCTACCATTTTATATTTTATCGTTTCAGTTATCGAAAGAGACCTACAATATCAACTTGATCTGAAAACATATTGTTCATTTGAATTCAAAACTGTATCCTTTCAAATAACTCAATTCGTTTATAACAAGAGTTTTGTGAATCAATATACAAAACTATATTATGATCGACTGAAAATAACACGAATTTTGCATAGAATGAACAGGATTTCTTTTAAAGAAGTATTTCATTCATTTCAGTTTGGAAAAAAACTGTTTTATTCAAACATAGATATTATTGACAAAAATTTGAATTTAGTATTATGAGAAACTTACAATGTAGAACAGTGTTTGCGTACGCGCCAGTATGTGTTGGAAAGTGACGTTGGTGTTGTCATTCTGAGCAAGAAGTATTTTATGTGTCTGTAGGTAGTGCAATTCATTTCCGATTATTTTGTATCTGCCATAATGGAACAGATTTTTACAAACCTGGGTCTTACACAGTTGGAAGATATTTTCATGGGTAAGTATTATAATTGGATAAAATTGAGGTGTTCGGGTTACTTGAGAAAAAAACTCCGCTATATCAGTGAGTACTGCGTTGTATACCTAGTACCGAAGAGAAAGTGGTAAATTTTGACAGCAACTCCTAATTTTGCACTCATTTTGCATAAATTATATCAATGCTTCGCAATTTTCCACACATGCATCATTTTCCGAAATGTCTTGGCTTTCTGTAATTACTTCAGAAATGTTTTCTCATGTTATTCATTGGGAAAAAATTGAATATACATTACTCAGCTTGAAATTATCTAATATATTTCCTTTAGGAATGTAAGAAATAGGTAGAAAAATCACCAAACTCACTAGAGGAGAAATCGGAATTTCCAAAAACGTGAAAACAGTGAATGTTTCTATTCAAATAGTGGATCACATACCTTCAAGTATGTATGTATGATCATGAGTTACATTTTTTAAATGAAACATTTCATATTTTCCACTGATCCTCTAATAATACTCACACAACACTTTGAATTCCTGTAACGGTTCCAAAATGATTATTTATCCACTTCATAGGGATTTGAAGTACGCCTTTTGAATTGATTATTTATTTCTGATCAAGAAATGATTAGGCACCTTTTAACTTGATAGAAATCGTGTGTTAAACAATAAAACCACAGACAAGTTTTAAATTTGGAGGGTTGTCTTTCGTATGCAGGCAACAATTGGGTTGGTTAACGGAATAAACCCACTCAAACAAATTCAATTGAATTGAATTGAATTGAATTGAATTGGGAACTAATTTTTTCAGAGTATAGTGAGGCGCATCGTCTCATATGGAAAACTCCTGCACCATCGCTATACAACAAACAACAGGTTTGTCGTCGCCCCATCTGCCTTTGAACGAGGTAACCAACTGCATATCCGAAATTTGCCCAATTCCTCATATAAGGAAAGAAAACTTTCACATATCGGATATAATCCAACGCCCTTCGTGGTAATAATCAAGGGAGTAGTTGTTTTCTGATAGGTGTCAGTCCATTAACCTACTGTAGGGAGTTGAGACTGGCCTGAACGAATTGTTCTTAGATAATTTGACATATAATTCTTCCAAAATCCAAAACAGTTTTGCTTCGAGATTAATTTTGCTCCTACTAAAGAAAGCATACCTACTTCTCTTGAGCTAATGTGATGATTTCTATTGAAATGTATGCACAATCTTGGTGGACTCTTTTTTTCACTTGAAAGAAGCGTTTATTCCGTCCATTTGAATTAATAATTCAAATTCAACTTGAGAGAATATATTTCTCAGTTTATAAAAATATTTCATCATGAATATAGGACAGCAAGATTTCTTCAGATCGAGATAATGTTCTTCACTTTGAGATTTTAATTTTCACTGTGTGATAAGGAAAATACTGACGATGATTAGTGAAGTGAAGAAAATATCAAATCTGATGAATCCCGTGCTAGGTAGTTCGAATGCAGTGGAATAAATGAAATCTAATGATCAACTTCAGATTGAATTGAATTGAATTGAATTGAATTGGGAACTAATTTTTTCAGAGTATAGTGAGGCGCATCGTCTCATATGGAAAACTCCTGCACCATCGCTTCCCTCCTGATGCAGCAGCTCTAATTCTGAACAGAGTCTGTCTGTAGTGCCTGGTAGATGTTAATTTGATGCGTTACCAGTTGTATATGGAGCACTACAAAATAACTTATTCTTTATTTTTTATATATCCGATATCGAAAATACAACGGGAGCAGACAATATAAAACTCCTGATGGAACAGTGGGATGAGGCTCAAGCTCTTTGGTAAAGAACCAAATTGGTATATAATTATGAATATTAGGAAACTTCCGAAAACCATAAAACTTTGACTTCGGTATATGGGTATAAAAACCTTCCTTGTTTGGCAGATCAACTGCAAAATGTCAAACGATTGAAGGACTATTTCATTATTGATATTTCGACAATGCCAGCAAATCCAGAAATCATTGAATTTAATCGCCATCCCTGAAGGTTCCATCTGTCGATTTCAATTTACAATAAAGTATTCATGCATTTATTCCATTATCCCAAATTTAAATTTTTTGAGTTGACCCGTTCAAAAATAAAAGGGGGGTACATTAAAGCAATGCACTGTATATTTTTACTCGATTCCTTTCACATAACCCTTGTTGAGTCAGTATCATATAACACAAATTGTGATTAAAATTTCAGTTTTTTCCCTTTCCGATGAAAGAACTTTCATTAACTTTCGATCAAATTTCACGTAGACGTACCTACATTAATTATACAAAAAAAAAGTTCGTGTTTCTGACAGTTTCTAACGACTAATGGAACATAAATTGCGAAAATATTTTCAATCCACGATAGAGTCAAGGTGCGAAGGTCACTAGAAAATCTCGTTACATAGAATGATAATAATAATATGGTGTGATCATAACTGTTAATTTAAATAATTGTAATTACAATACTCAATTTGTACAACATCCATTGTACATTCACCATTTTGCAAATTACTTGTGATTTCGGTACAGTAAATCAGGAAAAACTCGACTTGTTACGGATTTTTCATGGTACAGTTCATTAAGGTCCCAAAAAATAATTTCTCCCTGAAATATACCCTTTTCCAGTTGAACAATATTTCTATAAATGGGTGATTTGATCAAATAATCAAATGATTGTCATTACGTACTGTCATCAATGACATGAGTGGATTGAACTCATTCGTGACATGAGTCATGATTTCATGAATGAGTTTAGTGCTTCATCTTATAATGTTATCCATATTTGGTGCTGAAGGCAAGGCAAGTGTCCTAATCCGGAACATTGGATATCCACCAGTGAGGATGACAGTGTTCCATGTAATTGAAATTTCACCTCTGTCATTCAATACATTGTGTTGCATTCCTGTGAATGATGTCTGATTCAATTACATTACGAATGTTTCGAATAGAAAGTGAATAGAGAAACGTGTGTTTGAATGTTCATATAAAAGTATCTGTTCAGCAAGAATTGTTTTTGTCAG